TACCCAGACAAGTTGCTGGCTGTTCCCCTGTGCTCCAGGCATTGCGTGTCTGAGCTGCGTTTCTCCTTGTTCCTCTCTCCTGCAGGGTTGGGCTCTTCCCCGTGCCATGGCGGGCTGTTTCTGCTGCTGCCGTAAGTGCCCCCATTTCTTGTCGGAGGAGGACAGAGCTGCCGTCCTGGCAGACAAAGAAATCCAAAAAATACTGCGGGAACAGAAGAAGCGAGACAGGAGGGAGGTGAAGCTGCTGCTGCTGGGTGAGTTGTTTTGGGGAGCACGCATCCCTCGGGGGGCCAGGTCACCCTTCAGGAGAGAACGCATCCAGATGGGGCAGAGCCCCGGTGTGAGATGCCGCCTTGAATGGCAATGCCGGGAGCTTAATCCTCCCGAGCTTTACCTTAAGGCTTCCTTGGCTTCAGTCCCTCTATCCTCCAACTATCATGGGTCAGGCATTTTAGAGGCTTCCACTTTGGATGTGGATCTCTAAAGCACACGTGCATTGCTCCCCCAGCCATTATGGGAGGCTCGGTTGGGTATGGCCTCCTGCCAACCAGGAGCAAAGGGCCAATAAGCTGTTCCTTGGGCTCGGATCCATCCTGTGCGCCGGGGTGGATCTGGCCGGCTTTATGCTGATGCTAGAGTAACCTGAAGTTGTGTATCAGACCTCCTGGTAAGGGCACGCCACTCTGCCCACTTCGAAGCTTTGCAGTCTGTTCGATCCTTCCCTCTCCCCTGAGGTTCCCCTAAAGGGTGTCAGCTAGGCTGCTTGTGCTGGCAGGTCTGTGACGTGGAGGCCCATCAGCTAGGAGCTCGTTTGAAGCCCACCCACCCTTCTCTCGCATAGTCTGTCTGTCAGCCGGCAGCACTCGACAGCTGAGGTCTGGGACATGAGGCCTTTCCTCTTTTAAGAACTAGTCTGAGCAAGGGCAGCTGACTGCAGATTCGTCAGAAATTGCTGCTTCTGAAATGTGGCCTTCAGTCACTAGCTCCCCAGGCATGCACTTGGGAGATGCAGACAGACGCCCATGCAGCGAGAATCGATCGCTGTTGGCCAGAATGACTTGGTCTTGGGGAAAGAAGCCAAAATCTTCCAACTTGGGCTTGTGCAATGAGATGCCTACAGCCAGGTTTAGGTATCGGATAATGGGCCTGGTTGTTCCAAAGCTGTTGAGTACCTGACTCGCTCTTGATGAAAAGCTGTTGGGAACTCCTCCGCATCTCTGGAAATCCAAGGCTACCAACATAGGCTTGGACCATCTTGGCCTGGGTGACCGTGGCTCTGTTCTTCAGCTTTTTTATGCTGTAAAGTGCTTCATGAGACCTATCCCACCAGCAACAGGGAGGTCACCCCACTGAAGGGGAAGAGGTCACCCAAAAGCAATAGGCGCGAATCCCAGAGAGACAATAAGATGGGGAAAGGTTGGAGGTGGGAAGAGAACATGATCTCCCTCATGTCCTTAAGTATCTCTCCAACTGGGCATGGTTGAATGGGCAAGGGAGTGGTGAAGAAGTGCCTCCATTGGCTGGGGAGTTATGGGCAGCCCTCAAGTGCCCCACGGCCCCATGTCCTCACTGGTATCTGACGTCTTTCTCTCCGGTGCTCGCAGGCCCTGGCGAGAGCGGGAAGAGCACGTTCATCAAGCAGATGAGGATCATCCATGGGGTGGGCTATTCTGAAGAGGATTGCAAAGCATTCACCAAGCTGGTGTATCAGAACATCTTTGCCGCCATGCAGGCCATGATTGGGGCCATGGAGACACTGCAGATCCCCTATGCCCGGCCAGAGAATGTGGTGAGCGAGGAGGGGAAGGGAGCAGTGAGATAGTTTGGGACAGAGGCAGAGCTGCTAGATCTGGGGCTGCTTTAGGAAGCACCACTGAAAGCAATGGAGCTGCCCTGAAGGTCTGCACTCTCCGCCACCTCCCCCAGAGCCAAGGGAGCTGCTTGTATTACCTCCAAACAGGAGCAATGGCCCCTGCCTTAGGGCTCGGGGCTGGTTCAAGCTCCCTTAGGTAGGAGATGCAAAGGGGTTTCACTGACTCCCTGTGGAATATCAGGCAAGTCACTTAGCATCCTGGTGCTTCCACCTGTGAAATGGGAACAAGAGCTACTCGCCTGCCTCACGAGGGTGCAGTGAAGGTAATTGCAGCTCAGCGCTATCGTGATGGGGACCAGAGCTAGAAAATGTAGTCCTTGGTTAAAGCTAAGCAGCCGATTGGAGGCAAAGCCCCCAAAAGACCCCGGGAGTCCTTCCACCTTCCCCTTTAACTTGCCCCCAAGTCCCTACCATTTGGTTCCTCCACGCAGAGCGAGTCTGAGCTGCAGGGGCTGAGCCAGGCCAGGAGCTCTGGATGAGGTGTCCGAGGAGACAACTTTTCCCTTGCCTTGTTCTGTCGCTTTCTCCCCCTCGCAGCACCATGCCCAGCTGGTCATGGGAGTGGATGCCTATAAGGTAGTGAGACTCAGCGAGCCATACGCCAGTGCCATCGGGGAGCTGTGGAGAGATGCCGGGATCCGGACGTGTTACGAGAGACGAAGGGAATATCACTTGCTGGACTCTGCCTTTTAGTGAGTTGCCCCAGCCATGCATACATGTGTGTGCGTGAAAATCCTTTCGCTAGGGTTTCATGGCTAGCGGTCAAGGCTAATGGTCCCATTCTATCTCAGAGGGGCAGTGGGGGCCTGGACTGAGCACAGATTACCCTTAGTGATACCTGTGTACAACACCTAGCCTGCTATCTGCTATAGCCTTATAGTATTATAAATGACAACCCAGTAAATGTGACTGGGCTTTGCTGGGAACCAGAGCTGCCAACAGATCCCAACACTTTTTTTTTGCTTTTGAGTCTTGTTCCCACTGCGACCAGATGCAGAAATCTCACGGGAGCCTTTGAGCCTCTTTTCCTGACCCCAGCACCTGAAATCAGGGCTGGTTTGAGTCTTGGTGAGGTTTCCCAGCCAGCAATGCTCTCACGGGCTCCAAAGACCTTGTGTTATGTGCTTGTGAGTAGGAGTGTGGTTAGAGCGCCGGGGTAAGAGACAGGACTCCCGAGTCCTGTTGCATGCACTTTCCCCATCAGATTCAGATTATCCTTCCTGCTGGTAAAGCTGCTATTCTGTGCATTGCAGTAATGCCTGGGAACCCAGACAGGGTCCAGAGCCCTGCTGTGCATGGTGATGTACAAGCACAAGGGAATATCATTCCTATCATTAAGGATCAGGGGTCTGCCACAGGGCTTAGAGAGCAGGGGCAGAAGGGGCTGATTCCCTCCTTGTCCCTGGCTGCCTGCAGCTTTCTATCCAACCTGGAGCGTATTGTGGAAGACGCCTACATCCCCACCGCGCAGGATGTCCTGAGGAGTCGGAGGCCGACGACCGGCATCAACGAGTACTGCTTCTCAGTGAAGAAGGTGACCCTCAGGTGAAGCTCCTGGCAGGCAGTCCTATGAGCAGGGACTCCTACATCCGAGCTCCCATCTCAGTCGCACCCTTGCCTGCGTGCCTTTGCCTCTGTGCCAGCCTTGCCCCCTGTGTGCCATTCCTGGTAGCAGGGGACCCTGGTCGTTCAAGAACAAGCACCCAGCACCTGCATGTTGCTCGAACTTCCCTGCCTGTTTCAGGCAGGCGAATCCATCCTTGGGGGTTGCTGTGCATTGCTTAGCTGCTGCGCTCCACCCCAGAGCTGGGTGCCTGCTTCCGGCACTGGACCGGCCTTCAGCAGGCTTCAGCAGCCCTCTTGGTCCCTCCCAGAGGCCTCTCAGCAGCTCGTCCTAGCTAGCAGCATGATCCAAGCCAAGACCCAGCTCCTAACACACCTTCCCTCCCTCCCTACAGGATTGTGGATGTGGGAGGGCAGAAGTCGGAGCGCAAAAAATGGATCCATTGCTTCGAAAATGTGATTGCCCTGATCTACCTGGCCTCTCTCAGTGAGTACGACCAGCGCCTGGAGGAGAACAGCCAGGAGGTAAGGAGCCCTGAGGGACACGGGGCTCAGGCAGCACATCTGGCAATGCAGGCCAGGGCCTGCAGGGAGCTGTGTGCAGCTCTCAGGCTCGAGGGGACTCTGGAGCGGGTCAGCTTTGATTTGCCCCAGGGCATCCTAGAGCACGGCGCGTCTGTACGGGAGCTGAGAGCCGAGATAACGGGCTCGGTGTTTCCCCTCCTGCTCCTGCTGCAGAACCGGATGAAGGAGAGCCTGGCTCTTTTCCAGACTGTCCTGGAGCTGCCGTGGTTTCGAAACGCCTCGGTCATCCTCTTTCTGAACAAGACCGACATCCTGGAGGACAAGATCGCACGCTCAGACTTGGCCGACTGCTTCCCTGCCTTCCCAGGTGACCTGCTTTCAATCCAGCGCTTTGGGGTTCCCCCCTGCAGGCATTGCAGAAACCCTTCTTCCACCCAGCTCCACGGGGGTGCTTTGTCGCGATGTGGAGCTGTTGGTGACCCTGTGTGCATTGCTTGTCCTAGCTCTGGTCCAGGTGGCTTCAGCTAGTACAGTTGAAGCCACTCTTATTGGTATCTGGTGGCTTCCCGGAGGGAGAAAGCAGTGAGTAGAGCACTGGGTGGGGACTCAGGAGATCTGAGCTTTGTTTCCATCTCTGCTATGGACTTTCTGGAGGGGCCTGAGCTGTTCCCCTCTCTGAGCCTCAGCTTCCCCATCTGTATAAGGGGACCAACGTCACTGACCCCCCATTGGCTAAAGAAGAAAAGCACTGGTGTGGGAAGAATTGGTGCGGTTATCACGGGAGCTGTCACCATTGCCAGTTACCTGTACAGCACCTAGTGCACCGGGCTCCGGGTCCTTGATGCGGGTGCCCCAGGCAGGGCTGTGATTTGAATAATAAAGATTTTATTGCCATAGATACATCGGGAAAGTGAGGTACGGTCAAGGCGTGTGACCTCATGGGTGCTCTTCTCCGCCAGGGCCCAAGCAGGATGCTGAGGCTGCAAAGCACTTCATTTTGGAGATGTACACACAGAGGTACAAGCAGTGCTCAAGTGGACGTGGGCCCTCCCAGACCTCCAAAACCAGGTGTCTCTACCATCACTTCACCTGTGCCACAGACACGCAGAACATCCGCAAGGTCCTCAAGGATGTCCGGGATGTGGTCTTGGCCAGCTACTTGGACGATATCAACCTCCTGTGATGAGACGGGCTCGGGCAGGGCTCTGCTGGGGAACTAGCTGGGTGTCGGGACAGGAGGCTTTGGCTGCTGCTCCTCATGCCTGGCTTGGGAGGTAGGAAAGAAACCAGCCAGGGCAACCTTCATGCTGGACATGTGAAAAGAACAGCTCTTGAGATCTCCCTGGTTTGGAGACCCTCGGTGGACCAACTTTCCTGATGACCTCCTGCAGGGATCCTTTTCAGAGCTGTCTTCAGAGACCCACTTCTGGCCTGCCTCTGGGTCGCTTTTAGCCTCCCTGCCTTTCTGATGGGGACTGAATGCCCCTGACTTTGTGCCTAGGATTTGGCTCCAGAAAGGGCTCCTGTTCCTCTCCTCCGGGGTTATTCTCATTTTCCTTGCCAGGGGAGGGGCTGCTTTGGTAGCCGACCCATCTGCAAAGCACTCAGGGCACTGAGGCTGTTTGTAGAGGCTAATAAAGAATGGAGATGCGCTTATTTTAAAGAGAGGAGCTGTGCAAAGTCCTTCCCACCACAGGACTGCGTGACTGCTCTCTCTTGCGGATGGAGAGGCCGGGGTGGGATGTACATTTGCACTAGGAGACCTCTGATCTGCACTCCAGATACCAGGTTACTTGCAAGGCAGTCGGAGAGCAATGAAGAATTGCAGTAGTGCAAGGAGAGGGCTGCTCAAGCCACATCCTTTCAGGCCCTCCCCATCTCTGCTCACGTCCCCTCCTTCCTTCCTCATGCAGTCTCAACTGGGGCCTGATGGGACTTGCTGCTGAAGGCAGAGGAGACGCCTCAGGACTCATTTCAGTCACAATTGTGCTTGGTCTCAGTTCATGCTCGTACTGTGAGCTGAGACCAAGCTGGTACTGAGGCTGCTTGGTACAGAGCTGAGCTGGTACCAAGGCTGCTTGCAGGACCGGTGCCCCCTTGTCTTACGCACATCCCTTTACTGGACGCGTAACAAGGGAATCTGATGCTGCCGCCTGGCTCGGTTCTCCCTTGGGGTCACCGTGTCCCTTGTCCACGTGGGTGCTGCTGCTTGCAGCTTAGATGTGCATGTGGTACTTGGATGGTGCATGTCCCCAAGAAGAGATGGGGATGGGGCAATGAGACCTCCACCTGGGAAGGAGATGAGTGGGAGATGGCAAGGAGCTCCTGCTAAGGAAGACTGGACCCAGAGCACAGAGGCAGGTGAGTGGGGGGGGGAGATGGAGGAGCCCAGCTGGGACTAGGTGGGCTTAGGGGAAGGCCGGATCCTGGAGAACCCAACAACAGAGCAGAGATGCTGTGAGGTACAGGGTGGCTGTAAAAGGGAGCATCTGAAACCTCACAGCAGCTAAAGGCATCCAGCTACCTCAGTTCGATCCTGCTGGATGGCTCGAACACCAGTGGCCAGAAGAAACCATGTCTACCAGGTAGATACCCAGGCTGGCGGGGCACTGTCTTGTTGGGGGACTGGTCTGAAAGCCTGCAGAGCTGGCTATGGCAGGTGCCTGGGGCTGAGCTGTGAAGCGGGGTCCTGGATGCCCTGAACAAGCCCACCATTGTCATTCCCATCCAGCAGACTAGACCCATCTCCTGTGGAGGGAGCAACTAGTCTCTGGCTTCAGCATGGGGGTGCAAAGCCACGACCCCAGTCAAGCCTGGAAGAGAGTCTCCAATGCACATGGGGTTTAAGTATTGGGGCAGCAATGAAACTGTACAGCCTGTGTTGTACTGGAGGCCAGATCAGGTGGAGTGGTCCCCCCGGCCTGGTCCTAATGAATTATCCTGGATTAAATTTCTCCTGGGCATTTCCCAACTCCTTTACACTCTGTGACATGCCCATTTTGTGCAACCTCTGAAAAGAGAGTCCAGGTGGCTGAGGGGCCAGAGCACTGGGCTGGGACTCGGCAGACCTGGCTACTAGGGAAATTTAGGTTAGATATTAGGAAAAATTTTCTCATAGTAAACCAGTGAAACAGGCTGCCCAGAGAGGATGTGGGATCTCCATGCCTGGAGGTTTTTAAGACCCAGCTAGACAAAGCCTTGGCTGGGATGATGTAGTTGGGGCTGGTCCTGCTTTGAGCAGGGGGTTGGACTAGGTGTGACCTCCTGCAGACCCTTCACACCCTCATTTCCTGTGATACTCTGATTCTATACTAGTGCCAACCAGCTCTGCTGCTGAGATGAGTACCTTTTGGGCAGGTTACTCATTTCTGCATCTCCGTTTTCCCATCTGCAAAGCAGAGACACTGAGACGGGCAAAGTGGGTCAAAACCCACAGATGGAGAAACGCCAGGTATGGGGTTTCTCATCAGAAGGTCCCCGGGTGCAAATGCGAATGTCATTTGGGATTGGAGGGATTTTTTGTTCGAGCCATGACCCAAGCCTCCCTTTGTAATGTGAATGCAGCCCATCCTCAGTCGCCTCAGGACTTGGGACTGCATCTAATGCCACGCGCCTACTTGATAGTCCAGTGCCTTTTGGGGGAATCCCTGTGTTGGATGATGGGGTCAGCTGGAGTCAGACCCTCCGGATGCAAAGTGCCAGCGATGGGAAATGCAGGTGACGCCTGAAAGTGCAAGGACCTGTTGTTGTCACTGGGGTCTGGGTTGGGTCTCACGGACTCCATGGCCAGGTCTCATGGAGTACCCCCCCTCCTTCCAAAGCACAAAGCCTGAGCTTATTGTATTAGGAATATTTGTCCTAATGGGGACTCTTCTTACTCCACAGAGCTGCCCCTGTTCTCCAAATCCAGCCCTGCCGACCTGGTAGAGCAAGACTGGCACGCGTGTTCAGGGAGGCGCAGAAACACTGCATCGGACATGTCCACAAGCGGCAGAGGTGTAACCTTGGCCCCGTTGCATTGAAGAGCAAAGCTGATGCTGATTTCAAGCAGGGCAGGCTGTCCCTCAAGGTAAGCTGGATGCAGTGTGCTCTCACACAGGAATGGCAAGGCCCAGGGCCCCTGTCTGCACCCCTCTCCCCATAGCCTGAGATACTCTTCTACATCTCACATCCCTCAGCTGGAAAATTGCCTTCTCCCACCCTATCTTGGCCCTCATGGCTGTATGCTGTGCAGGGGAAGAGGGCTGGATCCCCTGGTAGAAACAGCCAGATTATTATGGGTTTCTTCCTGGCATCCTCCATGTTCATGGTACTGAACGAGACCCCCGAGACGAAGGCTGAAGCCCTGTGTGCATTTGGTGGAGAAAAAGGGGATATGGGTGAGCAAAGGGAGAGGGTCAGGGTTTCCCTGGCGTTCCCACTCGGCTAAACCCCTCTGTGCACATGAAGCTTGACCAGAACCCAGCAGAAAGCAGTCAGAAAAGAAACTCCAAGTCTTACAGGCGGCTCTTTTATTTGTCACAATTGCCGCTGCGACAATAGGGAGGAAGCAATGCAGTGGCTGGGGCAGGGGCCGAGAGCGAGGGGGAGTGGGAAGCTCCACTGGGAAGGGCAAGGCCTGGGGCATGGGTCCATATTCAGGCACTGGGGTGGAGGGAAGACTCCCATCTACACTAGCCTTTTCCACAGTCTGTTGCTGCCGCTGGGAGCCTGAATGGCCAAGCCAGTGCCAGCAACAGCAGCACAAAGCAGGTGGCAGGGAGGAGGCTGGCACCACAGCCCTCTTGCTCCCTGGCCCTGTCACTTGTCTCTGGGGCTCTGTTCCCCCTCTGCACACAAGAGGCAAAGTTTCCTCTGCTGCATGAGGCTGTCCGCATGTTTGTGGGTGAGGAAGGACCAGAGATGGACCTTGGGATGTATAAGCTAATTTAGCAATAACACTGAGTTGCTGGGTGTCGGGATCGTCTACATGCCATAATAAGGCAGGCGAGGTTCTTTGAGTAGATGTGCTATCTTTGATTAGACCGACTGAGTAGTTGGGGAAAAAAAGTTGGAGAAAAACTTTTTTCCAACTACTCAGTTGGTCTAATCAAAGATAGCACATCTACTCAAACAACCTTGCCTGCCTATGTCCTTAGACCAACACGGCCACAACCAAAAAACCCGGCATAATAATAAGGTATAATTGTAGCACATCTGGCCCTGGCTGTGCTAGCAGAGGTAGTGATGACCACAGAGACGCAACTCTGTCACGCCTTCCTCTTGCTGTGCAGATGCACCAAACTTATCTAAAAGGATTTCTTTTCTTTTTCTTTTTTTTTTTTCTTTGAAGGAAGCCCAATAGGCATCGCCTTGCTTTGCTTCTTGGCTTGTCACCCCCTTCCCCCACCAGTGCTCTGAAGAAAGGCCAAGCAGGTGAATGCAGCACAGGAAAATGCACAAAAGCAGCAGGGGGGGCGGGAGAAGACTAGGGCTTGAGTCGATAGCTCAGTTGCTTGCCTTCCGCTTGGTCTCCTGGATCCAGTTGTAGTATGGGCTGATGAGGGTGTAAAAGGCCGGAGGTCTGGAGGGCATTTGCGATAAGATTCCTTGTGGTACTTCGTTGCAGATCAGAGGGTTGCCTTCGTCCCCCTGGAGAACAGCCAGGGGTTAATTACTGACAGATCCTGCAGGTTAGAAACACCCTCCAAGGGAGGGAAAACCAAAGCTAAGGTAGCCTCTGTCACTCTAGTTGGGCTGAAACTGGTGGCAAAGCTCTTGCCTAGGGCCAAGAGGCCATCCCTGATTTATGATGTGATCTTGAGCTGACTTGCAAATGGGCAAGAGATCCCCCCCACCAGCTTTGTGCCTTGTCTCATTATTTACACCCGTGTGAAATGGGCGGCCAGGCTGAACGGGAACTTTCTATGCCTACTCTGCATCACCATGGTGTGTGAGAAGCAGAGTCCAAGTGCCAGGCAAACTGTGCCAGCCCTTGGAGAGCCTTTTGTGCTGATGGAGCCAGGGATGGGAGGAACACAGAGGGACCTCATGATAGAGACTGCGGGGAGTGGATCCAGGATGTGGCAAAGGGAGATGCAGCAGTGGCAATGAGCTTACACCCATCGAAATTTTGCGCAGCCCTATTTGCCACAATCTTGTCTTTGTCTCTCAGCAATTCAGAACAGAAGTCACCTCTCCTCTGGCTCTGAAACTCTCCAAGTCTTGAGATTTTGCTTTCTCCATCCCTGATGCCCTTTCCATCACTCCTCTGGATCTCTTTTTCGTTTCAACTCTTTTCATTTGTAAGTATAAACCTTCTGCAGTAGCAGTTTATATGTGAAGTTAGCTTTGCTATCATTATGCATAAACAATGTTAACTTCTCCATGTCAGTAACTTGGAGCAAGGCTTTGCAGGTTGGTGACTTCTATGCTGTTTAATGAAAGATTACTTTTTGGGGGTGGTTCTGTGGCCATATTTTTTCCAATTATCTTTCACATAGCACATCACGTTTTGAACGGGTCTCTGAATCTAGACTGATGTTATTTAAATGCAGGTAAACCTTTACTGTGCACATGTCTGTCAGCCAAGCTGGAGTTCAGGGCGGTGAAGGGGGGATGTCTCTGCACCCTGCACTTCTCCTGGATCCACCCCTTGCTTCCCCAGAGACATCTGTACTGACCGTATTGGAGTCCCTGTTCCTGCTGTTGCTCCCTGCACAGATACTCTTTTTGCTGAGGCTGGGATATAGCTGACTGCAATCCTTCCACGAGTGGACAATGACGTCTTTCTTATGGAGCTTGTTTGAGGGCTTCTCTTGGTCATTGAGGCCCCATCCAGCTGTGCTGCACTTGGTCCCTTTGTGGAGGGTGCTTCCCTTCTTAGGCAGTCTAATGACCTTGACGAATGCAGTGATGGTGGCTTTCTCATGGAGCTGGAGGGGAGAGACCCAGAAACATAGTAAGGATTTCTGTGTCCGTGTCCTCCCTGCCGACCCACACGTATCGCAGGGATCAGGGTGGGGATGGAGGGGCAGGGGCAGGGATTAAGTCAAGAGAGCTGGGACAAACACCTTGATCACCTGAGACTGGAGGAGAGGGCCAGGTATCATATTGACACCTTACTCCTATACAGGCTAGAGACCAGGGGATCATCTAGCACAGTGGCTCCGAACCCCTGGCCTAGCAGATTATGCTGCCCTCCCTCTTTCCCCCTCCATGAGGTATTTAGAGGCCTCTTAGCATCCCTCCATCAGTCCCTGTTCTTCAGTGTGCGTCTGGTCTTCACTTCCAGATCTATCCCCCACCTCTGCTCTCACAGGCCACGAGGTGTCTTGCTGGCACTTTGCTAACGATTCCAGCTTCTAATGCCTGTGGTGCTGCTTTCGTTCCTCCTGAGATGAATGTCCCCATAAACCTCCACAAATCCCCCGTGGTCCTCCTCCAGACCTGTCCATTGCTTCTCAGCGTGAAGGGCGGTGGGTTTGGCAGTCTTAGGCATCCTGTCCCATGCCCCCAGGGCTGCGAGGGCCCTTTCTGGAGGTTCCTACCCACCCCTCATGCCACCCCAGAGGTGAGGTCCTGAAGCCCCTCCATGGGTGCTCGCTGCAGCTGCTCTCAGGCTCAAGGGCCACCATCCTCTGTGTGGGGGTCTCTGCTGCCTGTCTGGGTCTGCAGCATGTGAGCTGGAGTGGGCAGCTCCAGGGGTGGGTAGACCCATTTCTTTGCATTACCCCTTCTATCTACACCTGTCTCTTGCATGGGTTGGAAGTCCTTGGGGATGGGGGGAGGTGGCTTTTTAAAATTTTTTTTTATTCTGCTTTCATAGTTTCATAGTTGGTCGGGTCGGAAGGGACCCGAGCAGATCATCAAGTCCAACCCCCTGCCATGGGCAGGAAAGAAAGCTGGAGTCAAATGACCTCGGCTAGGTGATTGTCTAGCCTCCTTTTGAAGACCCCCAGGGTAGGAGCCAGCACCACTCCCCTTGGAAGTTGGTTCCAGATCCTAGCCGCCCTGACTGTGAAGTAGCGCCTCCTGATGTCTAGTCTGAACCTACTCTCATTTAGCTTATGGCTGTTATTCCTCGTTACTCCTGGTAGTGCTCGGGGGAACAGGGACTCCCCCAATGCCTGCTGGTCCCCTCTGACTGGTTTGTAAATGGCCAACAGGTCCCCCCTAAGCCTTCTCTTGTGGATGCTGAACAGGTTCAGATCCGGTAGCCTCTCCTCGTAGGGCCTGCCCTGCTGCCCCCTGACCATGCGAGTGGCCTCCTCTGGACCCTCTCCATGCTGTCCACATCCCTCCTGACGTGCGGCGCCCAGACCTGGACGCAGTACTCCAGCTGCGGCCTGACCAGTGTCGCATAGAGGGGGGAGGATCACCTCCTTGTCCCTGCTTGTGATGCATCTGTGGATGCATGCCGAGGTACGGTTAGCCTTACTGACCGTGTCCCCACGCTGTCGGCCCATGTCATTTTGGCATCAGTAATAACTCCGAGATCCTTTTCTGCCTCTGCGCTGACGAGAAGGGAGTTCCCCAGCCTGTAAGTCTGCTGCTGGTTCTTCCTCCCCAGGTGCAGCACCTTGCACTTGTCTGTGTTGAAACCCATCCTGTTCTCATCTTTGAACAAGATGTTTTTCACCCCTTCGTTCAAGTCATTGATGAAGATGTTGAACAGTGCGGGTCCGAGGACCGAGCCCTGGGGAACCCCACTGCCCACATCCCTCCAGGTCGAAAAGGACCCGTCCACCACCACTCTCTGGGTGCAGCCCTTCAGCCAATTTGCGACCCATCTGACTGTGTAGGCGTCGACACCACAGTCGCCTAATTTTTTGATGAAAATGGGGTGAGAGACGTGTCAAAGGCCTTCCTAAAGTCCAGAAAGACTATGTCCACCGCGACACCTGCATCCAAGGATTTTGTGACCTGGTCGTAGAAGGCCACCAGGTTGGTCTGACAGGACCTGCCTCTAGTGAGCCCATGTTGATTGCCCCTGAGCATACACTCCCCTGCTTGCCCCTCACAGATGTGCACCTGGATAATTTTCTCAAATTCGTACAGCTCCTAGCGCAGTGGGGGCCCTGGTTTGCTTACTGTCAGATGCGTTAATAACAAGACATGTGACCTGGTCTCTAGGATGGGCCTGCTGCTTCACTCCCCCCAAGCCAGGGATCCCCTCATCTCAACCTCATGGAAAGATCAGATCAGCCCACTGCACACCTGGAAGTGGGAACCTGCCACAGAGCGTGCCCAGGGGTCCACGGCTCTGGGGCAGGGTGGGTAGGTACCTTGAGCAGGGCTATGTCGTCCTTCTGGGTACGGCTGTTGTAATTAGGGTGCGGGTGAACACTCTGCACGGTGAACCTTTGCTGAGTCTTCTCCAATATGCTGATGTCGTGAGCGCCCAGGATGACCATCGAGGACCTGGAACGGCAGAGGCAAATCAGTGGCTATCTCGCCCCTGGGCACGTCCGTCACTCCCTCGCCCACCAGGTGCACCAGGAGCAGCTTAGTGGCACAAAGCATCCCACAGGTAGTTGCATCCTGCTCCATGCTGCTGTGGCTGTGCTGTGCTGTGCTGTCCTGTGAGCTTTGGTGTAGCTGGACCCCGAGTATCAGCCCCTAGTACCGCCTGGTTGTATGGAGGCATAAAGGACCCTCGCAGCAGTGTTTAGGGACCCCCCCCCCCACCCCTTGCAGTGCCAGGACATCATAAATGTCCCTTCATGCTGGTGAGACCTGGTTCCTCTGTGGCAACTGACTTGGGGAACGCCGGGCACCAGGATGCCTGGGTCCTCTGCCCCTGCAAGCTTGGACTGTGCTTAGCCCTCAATGCAAGCAGAAAGGCATCAGATGCAGGTGATGGGGTGTGCGCATGGATTCAAACCCAGAAGGCACAAGCCACTGGTGGGAGACGCAGCCCCTAGGCATGGCTTTGGGCAAGACGCTTAACTCTGTGCCTCAGTTTCCCCACTGGGACATGGGCAGCTCCATCTGAAGAGGTAATGCGAGGGTTGAGCGATGCCTGTAAAGCCCTTTCTTGTCTTCGGAGAGCCGAGCTCTGTGCTGCTGACAGCAGCTGCAAGCAGAGGGGGCAAAGGCAGCCTGATTGCAAGACAAATCCCTTTCCCAGCACCCGAGCATGGCTTAGACCCCCACTCCTGGGCAGAGCACCACTCGCTCCCCTGGCTTTCCCTGAGAACTAATTTCCATCCATAAATAGGAGGAACCAGGTGAGGTAGGGATGGACATGGCCGGGAGAAAGATGCTCTGGGGCCAATTGCATGGACAAGGGAGACAGCTTTGCTTCTTACTGGACTTCAGCATAGCCAGGACCCTGGATCAACACAGAAGTCATCCTTACCCTATGCAGTAAGCGGCGGTCAGCACCCAGTCTGGCTCCACCAGGATTCCCCCGCAGAAAGAGCCATTGGCTTTCCTCAGATAGGCCATGTAGGGCAGGGAGTGGGGCTTGGCTTCCTGGCCTCCCACGATCCGACTCCACTGTGTGCAATTCGCCTGTCTCTGCCATTCATCTGAAAGACGAAAAGCCCCGAGGGTGAGCGAGGAGGGGCCAAGCTGTCCCCACCCAGTGTCCCCAGCTTGTGCCTCCTTGTACTTACAAGCAGAGGCCAAAGGGCTGCACAGCACAGAAAGCAGGAGCAAGAGGCACTGAGGCTGCATCATCCTGGGATTTTCAGCTCCCCCACGTCTCCTTCCAGTCCACGCTGCAAGCTGAGGTCTCTGACACCCCCCCAACATCTTTTATAGCTACAGCCCAGAAACCAGGAAACCACACATGTTGGGCTCATCTGAATAATCTATAATGCACCCGTTGCAAAATGCACGTCTCAGCAGACTGAGAGCTGTAGCGATGACACAATTCACATGTGTGGAGTCGGCATGGATCTTGGGCACCAGTAGCTCAACTGGTTTGGATGGCTTGGCGGCCTGGGGTGTAGGGGGAATGTTATGCTTGTAGCTGTGAGTTGAAGGCTTCATGGGCATAATATAAAACAACATTTTGCCCTTAGGAAGCAACTCCCTTCCTCTTTTTATTGTAGGCCCCCCTGTTAATGTTCTGTTGTTAGGACTTTTCTCCAGTGCCCAGCTCCTGGCATCCTGGGATACCTGGAGAATTTCAGCATTCACTTCTTTTCATTAAATTTCTAGCCACTCAGTTGTGGACAGAGGCTGGAAACCAAGACTGGAGTGCGGCTCAAAGGCCCAGTATCCAGAAGGCAAATAAAGAGAAAACAATATTTTTTTGGTGGTCGCTGACTTCAGGACAGGAAGAAATGGGCTTAAGTCACGACAAAGGGGCTTTAGGTTAGATGTCAGGCAGCTCTGAGGGTGCTCCAGCCCTGCAACCAGGCTGCCTACAGAGGTGATGGGACCTCCATCACTGGAAGTTTTAAGTTCAGGTTAGACACATGTCTGTCTGGGATGGCTCGGACAGGCTCATCTTGCCCTGAGCAGGGGTTGAACTTGATGATCTTCTGAGGTCTCCACCAGCCGGACTTTTTCTGCAAAATGCCTTGATTTAGGGGGTGGGGGGAAAACCTTACAGTTGTATGGAAATCTCGTGATCTTGGGTTCATGACTCACGAGGTTTCAATAGTCTGGCAATTGTATCACCGGTGTATTGTTGGTCTTGCAGAAGAATCGGAGCTACAGGCCTTTCCTCGGTGGGTATTTGACTTCACCGTGCTCGTTCCTGTTGGGGCTTTAGGATCTTAACGAGAGCGTCTCCAGTCCTCCCTACCCAAACCTCCTTCTTTTATTCACCTTCCATGCTGTTGTTTTGAAGGCTCCTGGTGCTAGTTTACCGGCTGGACCTCAACCCGTGTATGCCAGCGGAGGATCTCTCACCCCTTGAGCTGTCGATGGTGGGATTGGAGGAGAGAGAGGTAGGTCTGGGGGTGGGGGGGACTGCAGGAGCCTGTCCCCACCTGGGAGTGGAGCCATACACTGCAGGGTTTGGAGATAACAAGCGGCCTCGGTGGTGATAAGCATCAGCAAACGAGTGCCTGGTGCTGTTTCTGATCTTACATATTTTCCATTCAGAGGGCCCTGCAAGGGGTGGGGGGGCACTTGCCACAACCTCCCCAGTGCGTTTTGTCGCCTTCTCACCCCCTGGCTAGTTGATCGAGGGGTTTCAAATGTAAGCGTGTCCCCAAGATGTTTGCTGGTTGCCACATGGGGCCAGGGAGGAATTTTCCCCCACTCCTGTTGCTACGCATCGGTGGGGTTTTCTCGCCTTCCTCAGCAGCCCGTGTGCTGCGGGTGGGAGCTGGGGTGTGCCAGTGCTCCCGCTGGGACTCGAGCCCAGAGGTTCCTGCTTGGAGGGTCTTGCCTGAATGCTCAGGGTCACATTTAGGATCAGGGAGGGGTGGTCAGAGCCGTAAGGACTGTGGGTGCTTTGCCTTCCTCTGTAGCAGGAGGCATGGCCCTCTTCCTTGCATCTCTCCAGGGCATTTTAACAACACTGGCAGTAGCTGGGCACTGCCGGCCCTCACCTCCCTGCTTCACCTTGGCAGGCTAGGATGCTTCGGTGTCTTGGGGCAACATGCCTGGTAGCTGTGCAACAGGGTGGATTGTGTAGTTTTAGGAACAGGCAAGATGCAGGTGGGGATAATCCTGCCTTGAGCAGGGGACTGGATTAGGTGACCTCCAGAGGACACTGCTGGTCCAGGTTTTCTATGACTCTCTGAATGCGAGAGTCCCTCAGTCCCGTGAGCTGATCCCAGGGAACAGGAGGCAGATCTGATCCAAAATGGCTTTAAGCCACTGACTCATCTCCAGCTTCGGGCAGAAACATCCACTTCTGGGGAAGTAGCAAGAAACCCCCATTAAATAAATAAATCTCCCCACAAAGGTAGCTGCTTCCAGCTCCTCCTGGTTACACTCTGACTTTCTAAATACAAGCAGAGATTCTGGTGCCAGCTCCCCAATGGGGCAGGGTCCCTGCATTCAAACGCTGCCGACAGCAGGAGGGCATTTCCTGGGCTCCCACTGACCAGCCCTCAGTCTTCTTTGGCAAAGGCTGTTCACCCCAAGCTTGCCGTGCCCCGCGGCATTGTGCTCGGTTATGCTATCCTATCCTGCCCTAGAAGCTGGGTGGCTGACGGAGCTAATTAGCACCCTTTCCCTGCCGCTGGATGGGGGATGCCTGGGTCCTTCTCAGCCTGGGTGTGGAAGAGGGAAAGATGCCCTGCTCACATCAGGGGTCAAGTGTTGCTCATCAACTCCTGCTCATCCTCAGGGAACCCAAAGGCGTTGCGCCACTGCAGCCCTGAGCAGAAGCTGGTTTTACCCGGGAGGATGCCCAGTGGCTCCTGCAAAGGAGAGGCTGGGAGGCAGGAGAGCAAAGCAGGTGGGCATTTAATTGTCAGGCTCGTTACACTCATTACAGCGGCAGGAGTGAGCACAGGGGGTGAGGGAAGAGACCTGGATGGGCCGAGGCAAAGATCTCCACTTCTGCTTCCAGAATCTAGTGCCAGCCCCAGGACCGGCTTCCTGGACCCAGCTGACACGGGCAGGAACTGAGGGCTGGAGGGAGGTCTCCCATGGACAGATCTGAAGCTCCCTCTGGCAATTGATACAGGCCCCTTACAGCCTCCCCTCCTTCCCGTGGTCCCCGAGGGAGTGGTGGGAGCCAGTTCCCTGGGGTTGATGCTAGATTGGCAGCCAGAGAAGGACAGAGACTGGCTGCTGGAAGACGAAATGGGGAAAGGAAGCCGGCGCTGGTCCCGGCAGCAGTGGAAGGGCTGGGAGCATCTTCTACCCCATGACCTTTCGGATCCAGGGGAGATATCTGGCGACGCAGGCGTAGACTCCAGGAGGGGAGTCATTGCCAAAGGAGACGATGCCTTCAGCCACCCCTTTGCAGACCAAAGGGCCGCCAGAATCGCCCTGGAGAATGGAGCTGGGGTCAGGCAGGACCGGGAGAGCATCTGCAGCCTCCCCACCTGGAGGGCCAAGTCCATCCCTGGCCTAACTCCCATGCACTTGCAGCAGGGATAAATATCTACCCTGCTGAGCCTGCTGGTCTGCTCACACCCATCACAGCAGCCCCAAGTCGCAGGCACTGTCCAGATGGGTCTAGACAGGCTCAGCGCCAGCTCATACCCCTCCAAGCAGCAGACTCAGGGCAAGACTGAGGCCTGCAGGGTGATTCGGCTAGCTCCTTGGCAGGGGTATGATTGCGCCCATAAGAGCCCCTGAGAGGGGGACCAGTACCCATCTCACGTTGGCACTGGCCTGGCTGGTGTCCTTGAGCTGGTGGGGGCTGCCGGCACAGATCATGCCGTTGTTGAGATTGGGGTAGACCCGGCAGCACTTCCGGCAGCTGTATATGGTGACGTTGGTCTCGTAGAGCTTGTCAGTCATCTCCGCCTGGTCAATACGGCCCCAGCCCACTACGTGGCACTTGGTCCCTGGGGGAAGGTCGCTGCTGGTCTTGGGCAGGGAGATGGTCTGCACGTACTTGTTCAGGACAGCCTCCGCCGTGAGCTGGGGGAGGGAGCTGAGCTGAACTTGGAGCTGGGCTTGGGCTGTGAAGGGACAGGGCACCAGGTGCCCCAGGGATGCCTCTCCTCTGCTTGGCATCCTGCAGGGTTAGACTCCCAGCCCGCAAGCGAAGTGGTTTGGAGGGATGTGGGATGGTGGTGTCCACCCTGGTGGGCACAGCTGAGACCCCCCCTCTTCCCCACCCCTCAGCAGCAGTGGGCATCAGGATGATGCTGACTCTGTGCTTTCTCTGGCTAGACCATCTCCATCTAATTTTGCCAAACGAGCTAGGTGAGGGACAGGGTGGGGGAATGCCTTTCTCCCCCCAGCAGAAGCAGCCAGCAGATGCCTGAAGTCCTCCCGCATTGCCCCCCTGGGCCAGGGCTCGCATGCATGGCGTGGCCGGCCATGACCTTGAGCAGCACGATGTCGTTGGAGAGTATCTCTTTGTTGTATTCGGGGTGCGCGTGGTAGCTCTCCACCCCCAGCACCTGCTGCGACTTTTCCATCTCCCTGATGTTGTGAGCTCCCAGGAGGACGGTGACTTCCCTGCAGTCGGTGGGAAAGAGCACAGATCGCTTCCTCTGCATGCCCCAGCTCCCCCATCACCGTGCATCTGCTGCTTTCCCCCAGCCCTAGAAGAGTCTGGCTTGGAGATCAATGGCCCAACCCAGGAGCCTGGGGAAGGGACTTACCCGAAGCAGTGAGCAGCGGTCATCACCTACTGTGGGGCCACCAGGAAGCCCCTGCAGAAAGAGTAGTCGCTTAACTTCAGATAAGCCATGTAGGGCCTGGAGTGGGGGATGGCTTCTTGCCCCCCTATGACTTGGCTCTTCAAAGCCCCTGCAAGACGCATGCCATGAGGACACAGCCCTTCCTACCACCCCTGGCACAAGCAGCCAGCTCCCTCCGTGTACCAGCACGAGCCACCGGGCAGTACAGCAGGGAGAGCAAGAGGAGACTCAGGTGCTTCTCCATCTCTGTCTGGTTGGCTCGCGTCTGATCAGCGGCTGAAGCGCTCTACGGCCCGGCGGCTGGTTTTATAGCATCAGACCAACCAAACTTGGAAGCCAGTAAACCACTGGATACGTGGCTAAGGAACCAGTGCTGCCTTTGTCTCCCCACCCCCACGAGATCTATCTCCCATCTCCCCGCCTCTGCCGCATGCTCACATGCCACCACCCTTTGGAAGTTGCTGCGGTCACTGAGCTGATAGTGGGGAGCTGATAAACCCGCAGCTTGGAGCGCAGGGGTGGATGCCCTGGGGCAGCGTTCCCCAGCTCTGCCCCACATCTGAGGCCCCTGCCAGTGTTGCAAACAGTGCAATGCACCAGCCTGGGGCTGCGTGAAAGAGCTGTAAGACCCAGTGTGCAAATGACCCAAAGATTTGGGGCAGACATCATTCGGGGCATGTGATGGGGGCCTGATGCAGATAGCTAGGAATCTGTGCTGGGGAATCCCAGCTCATTAGCTCGAGCTGTAGTGGTCTTGGGCTTAGGAGGTCTCTGGTGTGATGAGCGAGTAGGTGGCTGTCAGGCAGGCAGGGTTGGGCACTGATTATCCCCCGGCTTGGTACCGGGGAGAGGTCTGTAAGAGCAGGGGTAGACGCGGTGTGCAGGGAGGGCTGGAGAGGCTTCAGCCTTTTGCACTTCTGCTTCTGCTGCTGGAGCACTTTGCAAGCACGCAGCTTCGAGCGCTAGCAAAAAGCAGCCTTGTACCATTAGCTGCTGATACCAGTGGGGAAACTGAGGCACCAGGCATGAGAGTGACTTGGCTGTGCTGGGACCCCACATTGCATAGACAGGGGCTGTGTGTGGGTGCGGGAAGGCTCCCTGCGCAGCCAGGCTGGGTCCCAAACACCCAGGCTGCCATGAGACTCATGCCTGCCCCCAGCCGGGCCAGGCTTCAGGAGTAACCGGACAGTGGGTTGTTCCCGCAGGAGCACCGGCCTCTGCACCTTCCCTCCTGTTGCAATGCACTCGGCCCAGGCAGCGGGCAGGATCCGGCCTGGCAGCTCTGGCTTGCTGCCGATGAGTCGGGTCAGCCCACGACCCCGTCGCCCCCTCTCCTGTGCTCACCTGCGTCACCTCCTGGACTAACTCGTGGCTCTGAGCTGATGTCCCTCTCACAGGCCGACTGTGACCTGACCCCAAAGACCTGGCAACTGCTTGGGAACAAATACAGCACCGTGTTCAGGGCAGGGCCTCAGGGCAGTCTGTCCTTCCCCTGCTATTGCCTGGCTGGGTGAGCGGGGGCAAGACACTTCCCCTTCCTGTGCCTCAGTTTCCCCATCTCTAAAGTAGGACCCTACCTTCCTTTGGGGGGCACCTGGAGCTCTGGAAAGCATGGGAAATGCAGGTTTTCTGGTTCTCAGTTGTGCACATGTGAATAGTTTAGGTTGTTTCTTGTCTATGCTGAATTTCACCCCCAGCCCTGAGCAGCTCTGGGCCAGCGTGGCCAGCTCACTATTAACCCCCTGTTGCAGGCCATTCACAAGCAGCGCTCCAGAGGCCTGGGACACACCCGTCCAGCCCTCTTGGCATCAAGGCCTGTCCCCCACCCCCCTCCCAGTGACATGTGGGTCCAGTGATTGCAGCCGTTACCAAGAAGAGCATGAGAAAGTATCAGAAGATGTACAGAGATGCATATCTGAGCCCAAGAGGAAGATAAGGCTGGCTTCTGCAGGTTCCTGGAGATAACAAGGCTTTCAATCACCACCTCGGGCTCTTTGCACCCTCACTTTATCTTTTTCTATTAGCAAGGCACTGCCATAAACCCTTTGCCCTTGGCTGGAAGGATCTCAGCCTGCTGCGAGACCCTGCAGCGAGTCTGGGCATGGGACAGCAGAGATGCTGCGGCGCTGAGCTTGGTCTAAGGCTCCATATGGCATAGGGTGGCTCTAAGGCCTGTATGCTCTACAAAGCAGTCGTGCTACAGGTAACAGGGCATGGAGACCAGTTATGTAGAAACAGGTGCTTGGGCCCAATATAGCTGTTATTCTGTAGGGTTTCGGACCCTGCTTCAGCAAAGCTTCCAGGTGCAGTTAGTGACTTTTGGGTGCCAAATCACTCGGGCTGATGGAGAGATGAGCTGCTGTTGTCCAAAGCCAGCTGAGGTGCCCAGCAAAGCAATGGCCCTGCTATCTTAGAACAAGCTCATCTGGGTCTGTGGCTCTGCTCAATGCTGGGGGAGACTGTCTTTGCTACCTAAGCACCAGGGGATGGCTGGCAAGTCTAGCAGGAGAAAGTCTGGAGCCCCCAAGACTCTCTGAACTTCAGTTGTTACCAAAAACCTGATACCGTTCGGTCTTCTGAGGGACGAGATTACAGCCCATCTGTGATCGGGACTCTGGCTATCTTAGATGCAAAGTAAGGGGACAGTTACAATTCCCCGAAAGATCTCGGTCTCTGTGTGCTAAATCAAGATACGATTGCACTTAGAAGCATAGAAAATTAAGGTTGAAAGGGATCTCAGGCGGTCACATTTAATCCACCCCTCAGCTCCAAACAGGCCCAGCCCCAACTCCATCATCCCAGCCAGGGCTTTGTCTAGCTGGGTCTTAAAAACCTCCAAGGATGGAGAGTCCACCACCTCTCTGGGCAGCCTGTTCCAGTGTTTTACAACCCTCCTCCTGAGAGTTTTTCCGAATATCTAACCTAAACTTCCCCTGCTACAACTTGAGACCAATGCTCCTCCATTCCCTCTTAGCAGGTAAGCTATTACTACCCCCCGGGTCGAACAGAGGCAAGAGAGGGGTCTATAACTCAACCTTTTATTGATTATACCCCAAAGCAGAAGAATAAGCACTTGTCTCTTTGCCAATTTTTTACTACTTGCAACAGCACAGTGCAGATCCTCACCTAAACCAGCCTGGGGGAGATGCAGGAGGGGGAGAAGGGTGGCGTTGCAGCCTGGCAGCCCGTTGTCTTGACTTTGCTGAGGTCTTT